ACACACAGAAGTAAGGTGACAGTCAAGAGGATGAAGTTTAAACAGATTATTGTTGTTAAAAGAAAATTATCTGCTCTTGCTGCTCTTTTTCACTATTTGTCAGATATTTTTGAAAAACTAAACGATCTCAACTTCAAGGAAAGAAAAGACATATTTACTTCAAATGATAAAATTGAAGATTTTATTAAAAAGATCAACATTTGGAAGAATAGGGTAAAAATTAATTCATTTGAATAGTTTCTGGTTATCAACAATTTTATAATTGTAAAGAATAATTGTAAATAGCATAACTATGTGAAACAAGTTTTTCAGCTTTAAACCTGATTAAAACCAAATATCTTTCAATGCTGAAAAACAGAGATGCTTTACATCCAGCAGGCAGTGTCAAATATTACACCAAGGTTTAATTTGTTAGGCAGCAAAAAAAACAAGCACAGCCATCTTTGTACTTGAAACAAATCTTAAAACTACTTTTATTTTGACAAATAATTTAACTGCTTTTTCATATGTATAGTGTTCAGCAAAAAAATAAATAATTTGTGTATTTATTTGTAGGTTTTATTTCATATTTAATACCTGGAGTTGTGAAAAATCTTGTGATGAAAAAAGTTTAAGCAATATTCTATATAATACATGCGAATGTCACTGTGTCACACTTTTTCAACTTTACTCCTAGAGGCCATAGCCCAACATATACCATTTTGGAATCAGGCTGACTCCGTGAGCAAATTAAAAATATTCTTGCCTGGATCCGGACATGCAATTCTGAAATTTTTGGTTATGCCAATGCATTACCTAGGCTCATGACTGCACAAAATAAAGTACTAGAAGACTCAGTCACCGCAGCATTATTTCTAGAGCAAGAAGTCCCTTCAGTGCTTGTATCCACTGTAAGAGCTTTACCAGCGACTTCTACAATGATCCATGAAGGCACAGCATCTGATCTAGTGCTAAAAAAGTGACATGTTTCCATTGTACAAAATGGTCAGAAATATGCACTGACAAAAGAATTCAGCCATTCTTTCAGTGTTGATCTTCTTTTTGCTGAATCCTTGATTGTCTCATCTTCATTACATGAAAGAGTACTAAAGCAATTCCATTATGGTCATCAAGGTATTGGTTGCATGAAATTTCTAGCATGAAGCTATGTTTATTGGCCAAACATGGATAAGCAGTTGGAGGAATTGGTACACATATGTTCCAATTGCCAACTGACAGCAAAATCTCTCAGGAAAACTACATTCAGTTCCTGGCCTATCTCCGAATCACCCTGGTCACATCTTCACACTGATTTTGTTGGACCCATCAAGAGGCAGTATTATTTTATCCTTGTTGATGCTTATAGCAAAATGGTCAGAAATTTTTCATATGTAATTGCATCACCTCAGATGAAACAATTCTTAAATTAAAACAAATCTTCAGTTGATTTGAAATCCCACAGATATTAGTTTCCAATAATGTCATTGCATTCGCTTCAGCTGCATTTTCAACTTTTTGTGCACAGAATGGTATTCAACACATTAATACACCTTTTTTTATTATCCACAATCAAATGGACAAGTGGAGCATTTTGTAGATACCTTTTAAGAGAGCACTCCTCAGACTTGAAGGGGAGGGAACCACACAAGAAATATTAGAAATAATTTTTGGAAGTTACAGAGCTACACCCAATCCAAATACATTAATGGAAATTCACAAGCAGAAGCACTGATGAACTGTAATTTTTGTTTATACATAGATGTCATCTATCCAACTACAAACAATTCCCTAAAAAGAAACATGGTGATGGAAGAACAATTTAACTATCATCATGGAGCAATGAAATGCAAATATGTACCAGGATAACCTGTATTTGCAAAAGATTACCACAATGGTAAAGAAAAATGGACCCAAGGATGCATTATATGCTGCTCTGGAAATGTTACATATGACATGGATATACAGTCTTCTGGGTTCAACATGCAAACCAATTACAACCATGAAACCATCTAGAGACCAAATTAAACTCCATTTTACCACTGGACATTCTATTGGATACCTTCGAACTGCCTCAACAACGTTCCCAGATAATGCCAAGAGATAAAGATAGGACTCCAGCAAAAAGTGCATCAAGGAAATCCCATCGACTATGAAATAAGCCATACCTATGGCAATTAAATCCCTGACAAAAGTCATACAAGCACAGGGCTAAAAAGGGGGGTGGTGATAGTGGAATCAAACTTACTTCCCCCTATAAAAGGCAATAATTCAAAATACAATTGAGTCAGGTTCTTTGTCTTCTAGTTGAACTGTGGCACTTCTGAATTTATCATGGTGACAGCTGACAATCATGTGGAACTCATTGTTTAAATCCAAACATATTCTTGTGGTTTTCAGGCAGCAAATGAATAAAAGTTATTTTATTATGTGTTAAAATACACTTGTCTTTTATTTTCATTTGTTTTTATTCATCCCAACAACCTGGGATATAACAGGAAATTTCTGATTTTTTGTTAAAAAAAAAAAAAAATTAGATAGAGAAATTTACATTTATTAAAAAATATCAAGATATAAAATATGTATGCATTTACTATGGAAAGATTATAAATAAAATTTTCAGTTTAAAATAGTAATGATTATGATGTTTGGAATACTTCCAAAAATAGAAAATATACGTAAGTTTCTTTTACATTGAATTTTTTTTTGTTTTAGATTTTAATATTTACCTACCATCATAAGAAGATGACAAACAAGGAATTAGAAGAATTTTTCATTGAAGAATTTAAAGGAAAATGTTTAGAATCAGACCCTGATGAAGACAGAAGCCAACAAATTTGCAGAAAAATTGAAGGGGCAATTTCTCAGTAGTGCCAATTATATGAAGAATAGGAGAATATCACATGACAAACAACTCTAAATAAGCTTTTCATATAAAATCAGATTAAATACTAATTCATAGCTTTTTTATTATATCTTCTTATATGTACTTATATTTTAATTAAAAAGTATGTAAATTAGAAATTAATTGTAAATGAGACTAAAATTTGAGGTACAAATTGCATCATTTCTTATAAGTTATTATATCCAATTAATGTATTTTCGATTAGTGTGTGTCATTTAATGTACACAGTAGCTGCACTAATCAAGGGATCCGTACCTTTTTTTTTTTTTTTAAAGAGAACTTGGAACTTTTAGTTCATATTTATGCATGAATAAAATGGTGACTTTTGTCACCTTTTATTAATGTGTAGATCAGGTAGACAAATGAAATTGATCTTAAGAATGTTTATTGTTGATCCAATATTTTCACTGAATTCAATGACTGGGAATGCATAACGTATACTGATTTTGAGCTGATAATTACATTTCTTAATATCTATATAATGCTAAAATTCTAATTTTGTATGTATGCGTGTTCTAGAGATACAGCTTAAACGATACATAATACCCCAACCAATTTAGGAGGATATTGTATATTGAATCCCTGCTAAGTGCAGTGTCAAATTTGATTAAAATTAGACAAGAGGTTCTTGAGCTTATAACAACATTATTAAATAAATTTAAATATGTATAAAATGACACATATTTGTACAATTCACTACACAGCATTAGTTTTTTTATATAAACTACTTGAAAGGGGAAGAGGCTATATGTGCCGCATAACTTGATGATAAATAATTAGATGCATACTGATTTGTTGCTATTATGTATTTTGAAACAAATATGAGGAAGAAACAAGTATGTATAAAAAAAAAAAAAAAACAGGGTGAGATGGGTAAATTGTCACCATTTTATATTTTTAATTTCGCACATGTGCAGTGTTTGTTTCTGATTTTTTAAACTGCACAGTATAATAGGGGTCAGTTGGGCACTGTCTGTGAGAAAAAGAGTACTATGTCACAATTCACTCTGCCTGAAATTTGAAAATGGTATGCTGTACTGCTTGGTATTTATGCTGAAATCTCCAGTATGAACATTTCAAAGTGTTTGGGTGTCAAGCTGAGGAGAGTGCAGAGGATTTGGAAAGAGTTGGAGGAGTCTAATGGTGATTACGAAGGTGTTTGGAGTGATCACTAGTGATGGTGATGTTATACCTCCACTCATCTTCCCACAGTGCCTCAGAATCAACACAGAGACCTATATCAAGTTCCTTGAAGTAGTAGAGCTGTCTAGGGTCAAGAGGGTGGCTGATGGAAGGCCCTATGTCTGGCAACAGGACTCTGCACCATGCTACACAAGCAGGAGAACCCAGTTATGGCTGTCAGACAATTTCTGCAACCACATCACCCCTTACATCTGGGCACCTAATTTCTCAGACTGCAACCCCCTTGATTCTTATGTGTGTAGTGCAGTTGAGAAAGAGACCAACAAAACTCCTTGTAACATCAAAGATGAACTGAAGGCAAGGATTATGGCAGCAAGGAGACTGTCCAGAAGACTTGTAAGAGATTCTGTAGTCGTCTGGAGGCCATGGTTGAAACCAATGGCGATTTTATTGAATAAATTTACTCTTTAGTATTTCAAGATATTTTTGTGTAATTTTGGTAACTATATCTGTTAAAATGAGATGTCAGTATTATTTTCATTTTTGTATAATTTATAAGACAATTTATCTATCGCACCCAGCCTATATTTCTTATTTTGAAAAAGGCTAAACTTTTTTAAGTTATTACTCCTAATCTTCATGCAATGTGATAACTATGAAACTCAGTAGAATAATAAATCTTTTATCGTCTTTAAATAAAAATTAAAATGTGTAATTAATAAGATTGGGAATATTGTTACCTCATGATTTTGTATCATGAACTGCTTTTAAAAGAAACCCAAAGGGTTTATAGGTAGACTAATATAAATTAAATCGTTTGCATTTGGGAAACCTAAAAATAATGCAATCGACTAAGGGAGGTAATAAATATCCATTTCTTAAACATGGGACCAATTTTTACATAAAATACTAAAAAACGAAAACAAGAAATTTAGAAAAAAGCATGACCAAAACTAATTTCACAATTGATGCTTACCTGTAACAAAGATCTTGAAAGAACACATGGGCAAGTCTTGCTAAATTCTGTAAACACTTCCTAAAAGAAAAAAAAAAAAAAATGGTTAAGTTCATTATAACATCAGATTCAATGCAGAAGATAAAACAATCCTCAGAACATGGATACAAGATGTGCTAAGTATGAGAGTGGAAACACATGACTCCTTATTTGCAAGGCTCAATGACATTTCAGAATATAATAGACAGCTGAAGAAGCTTAAAAAAAATTAATTTTCTTCTATGTGCCATGTCCCTTCAGGACGTGGGTGATCATGATTCCTTAATTTCCTGCCCTTTGTAAATTTTGTTTTTTCACTATCACTTCTAATACCTGTTTTGCCAACTATTTAAACAAGCTTGTTAGGTAGATTATATGCTATTTTTCTGTCCCTTTTATCTTTAATATGCCATGTGAGTGTCAGATTTTCCAAGCCCTCTTTTTTCATTATGCGCCCTAGAAATTTCAACTGTCCCTTACTGATTCTATATATAAGTGTCCTTTATGTTTCTATTTTCCTTAAAACTGTCATTGCTCACATGTTCAATTCATGGTATTCTCAACATCCTTCTGTAGAATCACATTTCTGTTGCCTCAAGTCTCCTCTTCATCTGTGAGTAAATTGTCCAGCATTCACTGCTATATATTAGGATCGATATTACATAACAGTTTAGTACTCTTTCCTTTGTTTCCAAAAGGTTACTCTTTAATAATTAATGATAATTCTAAAAATATTTATCTACATTCCAATATTAGAAATTTTATAAATTTTCAGTCAAAGAAGTTGAATGGTGTAGCAATAGTAGAAACAAATAACCTGGCTATTCTATTGGATTATTATCAGTACTTAACAAATAGACAGTTAGGTTTTGTTAAGACATTGGATTGACAATAGTGTATAAAGACATTCAGTAAGTAGTGATTTAAAAAATAAATAAGAACATTGCAGTACCAATTACTCACAAGTAGCCATTCACAGAGTTTAATATTTTTATCTACTTTCAATTGCTTTTTTATTGGAAGCTTATTCTTTTTTTTTTGAAAAGTTCTCAGCTTGATCCATTTTCCAAATTTGATCAAACTACCAAACAGAATTTTTTCAGAATCCTTTCTTGATTGAGCTGAGAACATTTCAGTATCTCTCATCCTGATAGTATTAATAGGATTCAAATTTCTTAGTCAATTCTTAGTCATTGTCAATTATCAATTTTTTCATCATATTTCTCTTGCTCTTTTTTTTTTTTATTGGAGGCTTATTCTTTATTTCTCATTTGCTCTGTTAACTTAAATATGCTTTATTGCTAGTAGTATTAATACGATTCAAATTTCTTAGATGAAGAATTGTCAATTATTATTAATTTTCGACTAGTATTTCTTTCATCTTATTTCTCTTGCTTTTTATTGGTGGCTTATTCTTTATTTCTTATCTGCCCTGCATACGTAAATATGCTTTATTACTAGTATTAATAGGATTCAAATTTCTTAAATGAGACATTGTCAATTATTATTACTACTGAAAAATTAATATTTGACAATACTTCATCTAAGAAAGGTGAAATAAATATTAGTAAAAAATTAATAATTTAAAAAAAAGTTTGAATAATATTACAGATAATAATAGTATGCTGAACCAATAATTAGTGAACAAGTTTGTCCTTTTAATTCCATTGCAAAAATGAATCAGTGATATATTAACAAGTTTTGTTTATAAATTCTTTAAAAATATTTCCTTAATTTAGAATACCCATAGCTGGATCACTGAAAGAATGATTTGAACTCACTAGCATATTGTGCAAGGAAGTGATCTCTGTGATGAAAGTGACTGTCTGTAATCGGCGGAGAAGCTGATGTTCCATATAATATAAAGCTTCTTTACGGCTCTTGATCATTGTATAACGAGGGAATGTAGGAGGTAGCAGACGCTGGTTTACAAGAGATTCAAATCCCATGATCGTTGGATAATCTGAAATTAATCAAAGATTTTAAATTAGTTCTTACACAACTAAGTATTAAGCTGCATTTATGAATGTTTTATATTTTATTTTTAACACACCTAAATATAGCAACAGTGAAACTTAGATTAATAGGATTAACTAAATCTCGAAAACATGCTATAATAATCAAATCCATATTAAATGCTGAGGAAATCTTATTCATAAATCTTATTTCTTGCAAGATATGGTAAAGTAGCTTCTTCCGAAAGCAATATTAAGTTGAATGTTATATGCACAACAATTAAAATTTGTTATAAAACCAACTCACATTAAATAAAACTAAATATTACTTGTGTGCAGAAGTGTCTAGCATTATACAAAAATAAACCTGTTTTTACATAATTATTTGAGGCAAGGATTTACAAGGCTGGATGCTCTTCCCAACTCACACTCATGGGTAGTTCAAGTACAGTGTTTTTATTGAGACACCATCTCAAGGAAGGTTGCCATTCAAGGCTAGAGACTCCATCCTAGCCTTGTATATATGTGTATGTGTGTGTGTTGGTTCCTATAAGAAGTTCATTCGCCCTTTGCCAGGTCTTGTTTTTCATCCTGTGGGATGACATGCCATCCTCTTCAGCTGCAGAAAAGATAGTAGGGGAGCTGGTTTAGACACCAACCACCTTGGGTTACATGTTGCCAGTAGCAGGCCTAAGCCTGACCTGAACAAAGTTAAAAAAAAAAAAAAAAGGGGTTGCGAACTTTTATTACAACAGGATTGTATGACTTAAGAATTTACTACACCTGTACTTGTACATACAGGTAAACCTGTTGATTATTTTGTCCCAGGGTTTAGACCAGTGGTTCTCAACCAGAGGGGAATCTCAATGCTTCAGTGAAGAATTGGGACTAGATACTTGCAACTTCAAATTGTTGAAATATTGATCTTTCTGCAGACAACAATTCTACAACGTCCTTTTTGAGTTAGACAATCTTGGAAGTGGAGAATAACATTCTGAAATATTTTAAAATATTGGATCTAAAAGATAAGCTCATTAACTGTCATACTATGATAGACTTCTATTCATTCTTTATATACTCAAAATCACACTTTATTGCTGAAGTTTTGTTTGCAGTCAATAAACTGAAATAATCAAGTGTAGTGAAAGTCTTTATTTCAACTAATAAATTATATTTTGAAGAATAACCTCCTCCATCATTTTATAAAACATAAGGTGACTTTCAATATTTATTGGGCATGATGAATAATCTCCCCTCCATAGAAAAAAGATATTTTGCTATTATGATAACAGAAGATATTAGTTGATATTAATAAATGGACATATTTTTGTTACAATAATAATGGAATATGTAATTAGCAAGTAAGGTACTAACAGGCTGTTGCTTTGTTGTTGTTTTTTTATTCCATATTTACTTTCTTTAAATATTTTACTTTCAATGAGGTAGGAAAAAAAGAATTACTTTCTTACAAGCAACAAGAGAGTTGCTTATATTGATAAAAATCCAAGATTATTCATGCAGAAAATATAATCAACAAAATTGCAAAATTAATTAAATATTATTTACACTATTTATATTCGAACTTTTGTTTTTATCTTTATTGTTATCACAATGTTTTGGCTATTGTACCCTGCAGCTGTCCTTAGGTGTATATCGATCTGGGTAACCTACAGGGAATTCTGAACTGAGCCCTTTATTTAATCTACAAGCGTAGGCGGTTCTTATTCCACTGCTCATGTCTAGTCTTACTTTTATTTAATACTGTTTAGTTATTGGTCACACATTTCTACTGAGTGCAAGTACACACCACCTGACCCAGGGATTGAACTCACAACCACTATATCACCAAATTAACAAATCAACATTTTTTTGTCTTATGGGACAATAGCCTAGTGGATAAAAGTGTTGATTTGCAAATTTGGTGACATAGTAGTTGTGAGGTCAATCCCTGAATTGGGTAGTGTGTACTTGCACTCAAGTGGAAACCAGTGAGCAATAACTGAACAGTATTAAATAAAAGTAACAACTACACGATGTCCCTAGAATGATCAGTGGAACAAGAACAGTCTACCCCTGTAGATTAAACAAAGGATTCAGTTCAGAATTCCCTGTAGGTTACTCAGATTGATATACACCTCAAGGCCGGAGGCCAGAATAGATGAAACACTGTGATAACAGCAACAACAGAGACAAGGGTAATATATAAATAATGATAATTCCTTCATTCTAGAAATTCAGACAGAAATTAATTAAATATTGCCATAATTTTTTATGAGATAGGTCTTTGGAGGGTTTTTTTAATTTTTATTTTTAATGAATTAACAAGTCAGAATTCTTTCTGACTTACAAAGAGTTTGACTGTACATAAAAATCCTAGATTACTCATGAAGAAAATATAGATAATGCAATTTAATACAGGTAAACTTGTAATAATAATAATAATAATAACAACAACAATAATAATAATAATACAAACCTGTTTTTGTAACTCCTCCTCCTTCAGCTTGAATTCCAAGATCTAATTCACTTGTCATAGCTGGCACAAGTTCTATCAATTGAGTCAGCAACCTTTGTGCCTGGGGAATGCCTTCACACTACAACAAGTTAATCACCATTTATACAAATGTTTATAACTGGTGAACATTTCAAATTCTCATAAGTAATATGCATTATAGAATTTTAAATACATTTAAAAGATTGATACTGGTAAGTGAGTTTGATGTGACTTATTTAACATATTAAAGAAATTGTTATTGCATATATATATATATATATATCTGTTTGTGAATATTGAATGAGTTCTCCTCTTTAATAATAGTCTGTTTGGAGTTGGTCTAGGTAGGTGACATTGACAGCAAATTTACATGGCAGTTATGGTGATTAGTGGTTATCCAATCATGTCTAACCTCATTGCTATATTTCTTTTTCTTTTTAAATCAGTCCATTCCAAGCAAGGTGATAATGCCACTATGACACAAGGGGATACTGGGAGTGAAAGAGAATGAGAAGATTTTAGAAGGAATAGGAAACCCAATCCTTAGCAAGAAACAATGGATAAACCTCTACTCCTGTTCAGAAACTGGATAGAAGTGTGAACCAGATGATAGGTGAACCTATAAGTTGGCTGTTGTATGTGTAAGTGTGTGTATGTTTATTGATAGATAGAAACATACAAAAAGTTCAGATCTAATAATAAATGGAGGATTTATTATTAACTAAAATAAAATAAAAAAATATATAACAACACAGCACGAGTAAATTAGGTGTTCACAGAGTAATGGAAATAAAATCTTTTATTTTTCAGTTAATAAAAAAATTCAAAAGGTTGGATGATTATTTAGATAAGAAAAATTATATCTCTTTATTTGAAGATATGTAAACACAAATGTATGTGTGGATAATATCAAGCAAATTTTACATTGTAAAATATATGCTTAATTCATTTTTTTAATAATTTCATCCTAAGCAAAGTAATAATATCATTAATATGCAAGGGGTTACTGAAAGTGATAGAGGATGAGAAAATTTTATTGGCATGAAAGGACAATAAAAGAATTGCAATTGACATTGTATTTAAATACTGTACAAGTATCATGGCAAATCAGGCACACAGCTTTTGTACCATTTTCTATAAATACTTTTCAGTCCATTCCTTCTTAAAAATACGGCATTCAAAGTCAACTTTACGTCTTTTAGAACTCATTATGGGTGACCGCTTTTTAATTTTTTTAGAATCTAACTTACTAAAAAATAGAATCAAATTTTAAAAACACCGCAAAATGGTGACTCTCATTAAATTTTGTTTACAAATATCCTGAAAAATGATAATTAAACTAAAATTTGAATCAAAGTAAAATTATTACAAATGTTTCTCCCGAGAAGTTTTTATAAAATTTTTAAATACCTGGAGAGCTTTTTATTAAATTTGTAAATATTATAAAAGTAATAGAGAGCCACATTAAAAGACTTGGTGAGGTGGATGTGGCCCATTGGCTGTAATTTGCCCACCCCAGAGCTAGATGAAGACACCATTGCCACTAATGTCTTACCATTATGTGGGAGATATTTCTGTCACACCTTGTATAAATTTGAATAGAAAATATTTAGTTTCTTGGAGTTTGCAAAGTGTTTTCTCAGACTTCTGCATTTCCAATGGTGATGCCTTTTTAGGTTTATAGTTTAAAAACAAATACCATCTTAGGGTTAGCACTTTAAGACTTAAATTAAATTTTACTTAACTACAGCATTGACCATTAAGAATTTCTAGGAGATTCAACCATAATACTTACTTTTTCCTTACTGAAAGACATCAGCACGGTCAAAAACATTCGGTAAAATTTTATTCTGTTGTAGACAGCAACTGATAAATTGTGCTGAAAATAGAATACAAAAATATCTTTAATTTTATATTAATTTCTTACTGCAAGGGAAAAAAAGATATATTATGCTAAATAAATCATAAATTATTCAAGTAAATTGTAAAATATGAAGTGGTAAACTATATATTAATGTTACGATTTGTACTTATTTGCAAAACTATAGCATTAATATTGAATCTACTTGCTATAATATAAATGAACCTGTGGGACCAATTTATAAGTTATTTGTATTGAAAAAAAAAAAAAAAAAAAGCTACATTTTATTACTGAAAAACAGTCAATAAGGCCCAGAAGTTTTTAAAAAGTTGTAATATTTGTCACAACCAGTATTTAGCCATAGACAACATTACATGTAGTGCATTGCAATATGCAAAAATAATAGCTGAGCAGAAAAAAAAAAGTAAGGTAAATTAATATTTTCTTTTGTGAATAGACTGAAAATAAAGAATCCTGTTTTGCATATATACATTTATAAATGAATAATCAATTTTAAAATGTAAATAACATTTCTTTTTCTTGTGTGATCAAGTGGTGACTTGCTCACGTAAGGCAAATAGAACCCAAAGGAATAGATGAACAATGTAAAAAGGCCTGGTTTTATGATAGAGTTCTTGACAAAAATAAATTAATATTTTTTTTAAAGATAAAATTTACTCACCTCTAATTCAGTATCAGAATCCCTTTGGGTACCAGGTTTACTTCGAGTATTCTGCCATAGAAAAGCAAACAAAATCTCAAATTACAAATCTATTTTTTCTTTCATTAGGAATTCCATCTTCCTAGTTTATATAGAATTTTAAATTGATGCATATAAATAAATATTATTTTATTATTTAAAAGTTTTCCTTTATTTATTCATTCATATTTTTTCTTTTGAAATATTCATTTGCTGATGTTCCTACAATTTATAAGATTGAATCTTTTCCCCACTGAAATTAAGTCCAACAATTATTTAATATATGTTCTGTTTATACGTTATTTTTATAGATAACATTTATTTAAGTAAATGCTCTGTTTTTTAATTAAACAGTATTAATTACATTTACTGGCCTGAATGGTAACAGCACATCAGGTTATCTTACAATATTTTGTCAAAGTTGATAAGCTCAAATATTTAACAATGTGATAGGATTTCTACGGATATTTTATTGTTGTAGAATTCACCATGAGCTTAATTAAGAGTTAAGATTCATCATAATATTAAAATAGGAAAACTGTGAAATTTTCATGGGTTAAAACTAGTGATTCTAATTTTATGTATAGAATATATACTAATAATCATAGTACACATGAAATAGTCAATGTATTTTCCCAACAGAACATCTTAAATGTTGATTTTTGCTCTAGATAGACATTCATAAAGTATTGAAAAATATAATATCAATAAATTATAAGTTTTAATAATTTCTTTTAACAAACATTTTGCCAGAAATTCTGTAGACTATTCAATTTGTGAAGACTTAAATAAAATATTTCATTGACATAAAAGAAATGATGTACCTTAATTATTCTGTTCAGTTCTTCTTCAACTTCCTTCATCATTCCAATTGCACGCACATCAGAAGTTTCAGCAGCCATTTTGAATCCATAAGTGACGGGTTGGAAATCTTCCTGAAGTACAAGTTACAGTAAAAGTGAATATAAGAAGATTAGTTAATTAAATGGGGCTGGAAAGCATGCAGCAAGGATTGGATAATTATTTTTGAGAATAAGAATGTTTTAAATGGGAGGTGGGGAGTTAAGCAAATTTATTTTTTTTACAGCACAACATTGAAACTTATTTGGAAAGTATTTAAAACCTTTTTTATCTGTAAATCAGGGCTTGTCATATACTTGCAGTAGTAAAGGGTGTTCCAATAACTTGGACTGATTTTAAATGTGAATTAAGTTTAAGCGTCTAATGATTTTTTCTTTTAGATTTGGCAGACATTTGGGCGACATTACTTTTCACACATAATTGCCATGACTTAAATAACATGATCCAATAGAGAAATAAATAAATTTTCACCAATGACACCGATTTATTTACTGCTAACTTTGGTCTGTCTTAATGAAACACTCTTATATATAATCCATCTTAATGAAACACCTGTTTTATTTTTATTAGATGAAGAGTTGTCTACCCTTATTTTTGATTTTTGACTGGTATTTACTTTCACCTTAATTTGTTTCCAGCTGCTTTTTATTACAACTTTTTACTCTGGCTATCAATCTACAACAAATAAGTAGGCAATGCAGGAAAAAAAAAAAAAAAAAAAAAAAAATTATATATGATCTTGTGTTGCCTACTCACTGCCATAAATTGACAGCTTGAGTAAACAATGAGCATTTTTAATAAAGATATAATTAATAGCACTCTGCATTATTGATATTACTTTCTTTTCCACTGCATTCTTTTTCAATGCCTCTCAATTGCAGTATACTTATTGTTAATTTCACTCAAAGTTGTTTTCTGTTGCTATAGCAGGATATGACAACACAATTATGAAATTCAAACACACTATTATTGTGGGATTAGAATCAAGTTCAGTGGCAGGATAAACTTTTTGTACTGCAAATGAAGTCACATACAGAGTGATAAATGGGAATTATGTTGAAATTTACAAAGATTAACAACAGACAATATTTACAGCTAATGTCCTCATCTTTGTTATGATCACATTTTGGCTGTTGTGCTCCCTGGCTTTCCTCATCTCAGATAAACTTCAAGGAATTTTGACTTGAACACTTTTATCCAATCTGACACAGTTATTAGATGAATTTTGATTTGAAATTTTCACAGTATATCTGATCGATTTGATTAATAGAGAAGTGTTGGTTTAAGCACATTGACAAAGAAGGAAATTATTGAAAAATAAATGTTATATATGTACTAATATATCTATATTCTGTTAATACTATAATGAGTTCAATTCTTATTGGGTGTCTCTTGACCTTGTGCCATACCAAATTGAGTAAATATAAACAGACAAAAAAACTATCTACTGTTTTTATAATTATTTATTATCACAGTCAATCAGTATCATCGTAAATTATAATAAGAAATAGAAAATAATGTGTATTGCTACAAATTCAATGTCCCATTAATGCCCACTATAAAATCCAGTATTAATTATAGTTATTTAAAAATTTGATATTAATTATAGGTTTAGACCTATAATCCATTAATGCTGTCCTATTTTGGGGATGGTAGGCATTTGCTTTTCTGCCTCTCATTGAATTTTTCATTGATTAATTTATTTTTTTTTTTTTACAGCTTATCATCCCTTTGCAGGTTATTTAAAGCCAGAAAATATTTTTAGATTCTAAGAATTTCTTGGAGATAATAATGATTTACTGATACAAACTAATTAACTTGTAGCTAGGGGTTAGAGAGGAGGTGAATCCTTTTCCAAGGATATTTGAGTGTAAGTGAATATAACAAACTCAACTAGAATTGGAACTTGGCTCTCTGATTTCCAATTCTGAGCCATTACCCATTATGCCACCCACACATCCAAGCTCACAGCACCTGGTATTCCCAAGCAGTTACCTATCTAGGTACTAACCAGACCTGACATTGCTTAACTTCAGTGATCGTATGAGAACCAATCTTTCAACATGATATGGCCATAAATGCTTGAATTTTTAAGTTAAACTAATACAAGATCATAGGAAAAATGAATTGGAAAAGTTTAAAATTTGCATTCTTCCAATTTAAGGATTTTTTTTAAAAAGATTTGAATTATTTTTTTTTTTTTTGTTTTTTTTTTTAATCTAGACTACTGATTTTTCAAATCTGGAAAATTCAAAATTTGGAAAATTGGTAGCCTGAAATTTCAACAATAATAATCTGAAAGGTTAAAGGTAAATAAGTACTTCTTCAAAAGCTCCAGCCCTGTTCACTCGATCTCTGATGATATCGACTATTTTCAGCATACATATGCAAAATGCCTTCAGGTATCTGTCTTCAATGATATATGGGTTATGCAGGTAGAGATTGGTAAATACAGTCTGTGCAAGAGAATGGCCTTCAAGCCAGGTAACCTGAAATAAAAATGAAGATACTGAGAAATTTGCTTTCTGCAAAATGTATTATAAGACAAATGCAGGAACCCTGGAGAACTCATAGGCATAATAAAACAAATCAGTTTCATTGTAAAATTGAACATGTAAATAAAAATGAATGATATACTTTAATTATTTCAGGTTAGGTCAGGTTGAGAGCTTTTCAGCACCTCCTTGTAGATGAAATGGATATTTAAACAATAATGTGCAACATTATCAATATTTGTTCCTAGATCATTTAAAACCATTTTTTGGTTGAGTGTAGTTAGTGTCTGTCATTGGCAAAACAAATATCTGTTGTGGACAAAGCATTTATACTTACAAGGCAGGCTAAAGTGGCATCCATGATCCCAATTAATTCAGGGTAAGTTAGATCTTTTATTTTTACACTTCCAGCCTGAAATAAAAAAAAAATTAAAATTAAAAAAATAAAAATAAAAAAGTGAGAGAATATTCAAAAGTAATTCAATGTGTTTGCAGCAAATCTTGACTTTGAAAATTTTCATTAATTTTCTTTCCTGAATGTGATTAACTATTGTGTATAAAAATCAATTTTCTGAAAATGTTTGGTTTCTTCTTGAACCAGGGCTTCACATGGGCCTTCAAAAAAATCAATGTCTGAGCTGTCATCTTAACATCTGAAACTCACCATGGGCCCACCATTTGACCACCTATATTCCCATCTCAAAACATCACATTATCTCTGCTTTTTTGATAGCAGTTTCTGACAGTAACCATCTATTCCAATCTGGGTAGCATGTTATTCATTAGTGAGGAAAAAAAAAAACTTAAAAAGCTGATCTTAAGCATTTGCTGCTCATTTCATTTTTAATCAATTTTCCATATAGAAGTCTTTTAAAGGCTTAGTGATCAATCCTGTGTCTTATCATTGATTTAGGAATCAATATATTGTGCTTTTTAACACATCTTTGCTGCCACAATGCCTAAAAATTTAAAAGTTTTACAAAGGCAAATTTTTATACTTTTTCTTGAAATAGGACACAGACTAGAAAGATTGGGATCATCCAGAATCATCAATGAACTTCAGAGTTAAGTGGTACCTATTGAACAGATTTATAATTTTTAGCATTGTTTTACCTTTTACAATCTCTAAAGTTATTAAACATTTTGCCTTATCTGACAAATTGGCCTGATGGGCTATCTTAAAGTTTCAAATTGGTAACATGGCTCATAATTCAAGACTGTTTATATCTGTTTAGATCAAACTGGCTTTCATCTCAACTTCATAGATGTTGCCTTCCTTCAGCAATTTAGATTTCAGTAAGTATTTATCATATATATTGATAAAACAGCATTCTTAGGAGGATACTATCAACAAATTTGTTGGAAGTGACAGCATTAGCTCTAGAACTTTCTAGACATCTTCAAAGTCCCATGTCTACCTTTGCACTACTCTGCTTTTATTAGTTGTAACATGCCATTTTGCATATATACATGTTGGCAGAGAGTGGAAAAAGAAAATCAAAATGGATTTCATTTCAACTTTACAGATAGATGCTGCTATCATTTAGCAAATAAGTCTATAGATTTCAATAAGTACTCATCTTATATATATATTGATAAAACAGTGGTATTAGAAACTGATATATTCTACTATTTGACACATCTTTGTTGCAACAATGACTAAAAATTTCAAAGTTTTTTAAAGGTAGATTTTTAAACCTTTTCTTGCAATAAGACAAATATTGGCTTTCATCCTAACTTTGCAGATGTTGCCATCATTCAGCAAATAAGTCTTTAGATTTCAATAAGAATTTATCTTATACAGTGTGACCCGGTTATAGGAGAAACCCGGATATAAGAGAGATTTTCTCTGGTCTCAAAGTGTTCCCATACTTACCTAAACAAAATAGACCAAACTCGGATATAAGAGAAACCCGGACTTCTTCTCCAGTCCCGCCAACTCTCTTATATCCGGGTTACACTGTATATTGATATAAAATGAAGTGACTGATAGTGTAAGATGAAATCTATAGAAACACATCAAATATTGGCTGGGAGGGGGAATGTTGTTTAAAGGACAATACTGGTTGAATTTTAACACACTCTACATTTGAAACTGGAATATTTAGGTAACGTTTTTACTTTCTTATTATTGGCTTTGCTACAATTCATCAACTTTCTTGCTTTGTTTTAGCAGTTTTAAAATATTTATGAAATATATCTGACAAAAAGGAACAATAATTTTATGATTAAGCATCAAATTTAACAATTTTTAACAATCTATTTACTGTGTATTGAAAATCGGGGAAAAAAACAATGCCGTCAGAAATTAAAGAGAGTCGGATGTGTGGTGTGATGTAATGGATACAAGCTTGCAATAAGAAATTGGAAAGTTGGGTTTAAATTCCAGTTGGGTTTGTTACATTCACTTACATGCAAATACCCTTGGGAAAAATGACCCCATCTATGGGTTAAATAGTAGAACAGATAAGGCATTGTCTTGGTTGGCAATCAGTCTACCACAGAAAAAAATGGTAGTATACTGTAGGAAATTTGCCTAGTTAGTCATGAATCGAAAGACATGATCACCCAAGTGTGTATCAAATATGAAACTTGACTTATTACTGACAGAATAGGGCTATATCTATAATGAAAACATACAAATACATCCTAAATTATTTCACTATCAAAATGCACTGACAATCAGAAAAAAGGAAATTGTCAGTAGTCAAGAATTAATATCAGTGCTAACAAAGTTGAAGTATTTATGTATTATATTTATATACAGAATTGTATAAATATTTATATTTAGTATCAATAGTTTTATAATTAGTTATAGATGCTTAATAGTATTCATGAAAAAACTGTTTCTTTAATTAAAATATATAAAAAAAAAACACGAAAGATACATTTGAAAATATTAATTACCTGAATTGATTGGTCAAAATTCAATACTTTTCGTTTTGTTTGATTACAAAGCATCCCAGCATCCATCTTGGGATCCATCATCTCAATTGCTGACATAGCCTCAAACAGGCTGAAGCTAAAAGAAAAATATTTCACTTTGATTAATTTATCTACATAAAACATTAACCTAGTTATTTTCAGTTCATTTAATTCTTATAGAAAAGATGTCAAATGGAATAGTTTTCTTTGAATTTTATTTGCAGTTGAGCCTCTTTCCTTAAAATCAATCTAATACTTGTTCTTATAAAACATTGAAAAAATTTTTGTCTTTATTACCTACATTAACTGCAAATAGCCTCACTAACAATGATATAAATGAATATATAAATATATATTTCAATGTAAAAAGAAATTATGGTCAAATAAATTAATGCAATCTTTGGTTATCAACAGAATTAAATTTCTGAAGTTTAGGGTTTGATTTGACCTAATTGTGGGTTTCTACCTACTTCATATTTCTGTAAAAATTAAAAACAAATTGTTGCAGAATAGTAATATTTATATGCTTACTGAAGCTACCTTCTCAAAAATTCAATTTTTCAAGTTCCACTTTTTAAAATAAAACATTGTCAGCCAGCATTAATTTAGAAAAAAAAAATTGTGTTTCTTTAATCTCAATTTAGTTACTAAATTGCAACTATTCAGACTGACTGCTTACAACTGTCAGTAAAGAGTGCAGGTCAGAACTATTCCTGGCAACACTTGCATCCTTTTGCCTTGGGAAGCCAATTTAACTGCATAAGTTGTTTCACTGAATAAATTACAGCTAACAGGATATCAAATCTAACCATTTATTCTTAATTTTTCTGCTTGCTAGCTACTATATTTGTTATTGTTTCTATTTACACTAGAAGTATTAGCAATAGTAATATTATTAGTAATATGATTTGAAAAAATGTTTTTAGCTATCACTTCATTCAATTTGTAGCACCAATTTTGGGGTTTGTTAAGTAAGAAAGAAAAAACTTACGAGGAATCCCGAAGGAGCTCTCCAAGTCTAAGTTCAGAACATGCCCTTGTGAATTCATCAGTAATATCAACCCATTGATAGGCAGGCCTGGTTGGCTGTTGTATTTGCTCAGGTGCCAGCTCATTCTCTCTGATTTTTAAACAGTAAATAAAATAAAAAAATAACAGTAATACAAAATGGGGGAGCTGAAAAATTATCAAGCCAATTAAAAAGGGATTCCCAGACAAAATTATGTTTGGTCAGATTTTGAGGAGCAGGTCAAATTGAGAACTTTTCAACACACTGATCATATACAAATTTATATAAGCATGAAGCAAGCATATCAAATACTATGTCAACAATACTCTGGGTTAGTGAAGTAAATTGAATTTATTTATACAGGTAAGTCAATCAGATTGTATTCTAATGGCTAAGAAGGAAAAAGAGTTTATTTTACACAACAAATATTTATTGTCATTATGCTTAACTCAGTAATGAATATTAATCACATAAATCAAACATGGATGCATTGTGGAGTAATGAAGAGTGGATCAAATTGAAGAATCAGAGAGTGGAGTTTGAATTCCAGTTGAGTTACATTTATAACACCTTTTGTGCCACCTACACCCTGTGGTGTAACCATGTTTGAGTGGTCTGGTTCTCATGGTCTTAGAATGGTGTTTTAACCACAGGGCTAGCACTGCGCTGACCAATGCTGACAGTGGTCCAAGCTGGTTGTTGGTTGCTGGACACTTTCATCTACACCAACTCTGCACATGCTGTGTTCTTGATCTCAGAGCAGTGGAAAAATCAAAGGTTAGTCTCGCAACACAGGTTCAAACTATGGTGGGTACTATATTAAGGAAAAAAATATCTTCACAATGAAAAATAAAATGAAAGATTTGTGGGGTTAAACTTCAATTGGTTTATATAGCTCTTGGTACAACAAAGATAAACCTGGCATCAATCTCTCTAATGACAATGGACCTTGTTTAAAGTTTTGGAGGGGCTGGGTTCAAAGTCGAGAATCAGGAAATCTGGTTAGGTGGTGATGTGAATTTCAGAGGCACTCAATGTGGGATCTCAGCCCAAAATCTCTGAGCTAACCCAGCCATCTGCTTATATGCACTTCCACCCAAAACTGGCTTGGGGCCTAAAGGTTTCTGGGGATTCAGTGATTCCCTAATTTTCATTAATTCCAATAAAGGTTTTCTTTGTTCCCTATTTCTGTTTTTTTAATCAAGTTTCCAAATTTGGAGAATTATCCACCTTCCTTGGGAGTAGTTACAGAGATTGCTTCTCCCTTAACTTCAACCTGCTTCACTTTACATCTCACACAGGTGGGACTAAATTCTGCTCCTTTCTCCTTGGTATTCTAACTCTGCCCACTTCTCAAGACTGGCATAACTCTCTTTGTGACAAATCTAATTTTTGAAGTTCATAGGAGAAGGGGCATTGTTTATTCTCCTCATTAATTTCAGTTCTCTGACTCATTTCCTGGACTCACTTGCCCAGTAAAAATGTGCTCCTGTTCTCTCTAAACCTTATCCCAGACTCAGACCAATAAACCAGATCACCTCATTTTAACCTTCTGAGCAATAGATAAAAATTATTTTCCAATTTGTTTTCATCAATGAAAATATATTTGTTTACTTAAATTCTCAACAGAGAGACATGCTGTTTTCCATCCTTGGGCCTGTCGCAGTCTTAGCAAGAACATGAACCAGATCACCTGCTTGTTATGATGGATCAATTTTTATAATCCTAACCCACACAGCGGGTTCATTCTTTGTTTTCATTTCTCAATTTGTTTTTCTAATGAAAATATTATTCCCGTCTGTTTTTTTTTTCACCAATGACATGTGTTTTTCTAATTTCCCAAAAAAGAGATAAAACCATTTCCCAATTTGCTTTAACCACATGCCAGATTTTCAAAATATGAAAAAAAGTAAACTCTTGGTACATCATTCCAATTCATAGGAGTGATGCAACCCAGATGGCTCTTTCTTCACTTCCACATTACCAAAGAAAATGTTTTCCATTCTCTCTATCTTCCAGTTTATATTTCATTTTGGGCTTAACCCTTTTTCTGTTTAGAATTAATGTTTGACCACCTCGCAGCCTCAGTATCACACATTCACTTACATACAAATACCTTTGGGAAAGGTATGAATCTATCTCTTCTCCCCCTCCACTCTAGGTAAATAGCAGGACAAACTGAGTCCTATAGCCTTTGATAACAACAGCTCTAGAAAAACAATTCTGAATTCAAAACCTGAATGACTATGTGGTCAATGACTAAACTGGCTCTGCCACCAGACCCTGGTCTGGTGAGGAGGGTTAAGTGAAAAGTCCTCAGCTTAAACCATATTCCAGTATCTGTCCAAATGACCAAACATAAAAAAAATTGTTGAAAATCCCTCTTGGTCAGGTGAGAACTTTTCAGCACCCTCAACTACAGACACATACTAAAAACTGATTTTTTACACACACACACCATAATCCTTTTAAATACCACCTAAATACTGAAAATGTATTTAAGGTTGGGTATTACTGTTGGAGGACAATAAATTTCAATGTCTTTCGTTATTGCACTGTTGTTAGATATCTCTTTTTCCTTTATTGCTCTCCTTCTCAGGACTAATATATTAAACAAAATTTCTGACAATATAGAAATGGCTGTCTTTCTACAAACATTTTTGCATTTAGTGGTTTTAATGCTCATCACGTCAAGTAGCTTAATCATTTTAATGTTACTTATGTTGCCGGTATTCAAACTTTCAATTTTTCCATTGATCAAATAGTGAATTTCCCTACTTGTTTCCTTAATAAATCTGATCAACATGCTTATTTACTTGATTTGTTCCTTACCTCCTATCCTAGCTATTATTGAGCATCACAACTCTGTCCTCTTGGCAGTTTGGATCAAGCTGTAGTATCTGTTGATATTTCTTTTGAGTCTTTTATTAGAAAGGTTCTTCCTATCCACAAGATCTCTTTTCTGTTACCAATGTAATGATTCGCCTTGGTTCACACTGGGCTGTTCAACCACTATAGCCTACAGCAATCATTTTTTCCAGGTGTACTAGCGTGATAATTCTGATGCCTATTTGTGTGTGCTCATAATAATTGTAAACACGTCCTCAAAGAAGTAAAGTCTTCATTTGTTGATAGAATGATACACTGTATAGCCTCTAACAACTTTGGTTCTTGTGACTACTGGCGTCTCTGTAACAGTGTGTTAAATAGGTCTTCTATCCCTCCTCTTTTCACTCAATTTGAAGTGTTAACAGTTGCTGAATTTTCTTAAAATTCTACACTTCATTCATCTAGAGGATCTTTGCCTGACTTTACACTTAAAACTGAGACTGTTAAGTGATATACATATAACTCTGGCCATGATTTCTGTTATCTCGGAACTGAATCCCCTCAAAGCATGTGCACTTAATGGTATCCCTGCAATAGTCCTTCAAAAACGTGCTCCTGTTCTCTCTAAATCTTATCCCAGACTCAGTAACTGCTTGCATCTTAGTAGCTTTATTACCTTGCTTGGGTTGAAATGATTAAGAAAAAAAAAAGAAAAGAAAAAAAGATGGTTTCATTCAAAGTTTCAAAATTTTGTTTTACAAAAATAGATAAAAACAGTTCACCAGGGTATTTCTGGATGATAATGTCTTTAAGGTAAACACTCTTTGCAATTATAGTGCTTGATATAAAGGGACAGTAGTAATAAATGAAGTTAAATGTTCACTTATTTCTTTTACAATGAAATCTCCTGATGAGTGGATGTAATCTTTGTGAAAATCAAAGTAGGGACAAGTAAATATTTAATTGTATTTTATTACTATTTAATGTTCATACAATACAGCATTTCAGTCACCCTCAATTTTGCATACATGTTAATTCGATTACCCATGGAATCATGCAATCTCAATCACTTATATTCCAGCAACCTCGACTTAACATATAAGGAGTGTTTATTGTTCTTTATAATTCATACCATTCAGGTAAAATATTTTGTGGAGAAACCAATGTAGTAACGTCAAAGAAAGTGGGACAGACACATTAATTCTTATGTCACTACTCGTCTACACACACAAATGCCTACACAACATCCACATAACAAATACCAATATCTTTAAACATAATCATTGGTCCATACTAATCAACAAAATACCTTCCTGCTTAAATCCAAAATCTTGTCTGAGAGCCTACCCATAGTTATTTAAGGAACAGGCCCAGACAGGGAAAGTCGTCATCTTTACGATCAGACTGAGAGTTCAATCTTGCAAACAATTGAAGAATGCATATGAATTACCACAACATGAAATACAAACTCACAAATTAATCATGCTCAAAACAAAAGATTAAATCCGAGCATGATTTTTAACACCATCAGTATGAACGCTGAAAACCATGTCCCACTGAAGACAAATCATCATGCAGCTAAGTAAAACAATAAATCTCTCTATATCTATCTGCATTTACATCCACTGTGAATAAATTCACTTAAGTTCATTGTTGCAGTTTGTTCCTGTAAATAAATATTGTTAGTGTTCAGCATGTCTTTTCTCACATCATTTATGTTTCATGGTGGAAAAGAGGAATACATTTTGATCAAAATCCTTCTGATATCTATACAGGCCAAATTTCTACCTTTCTCCTTCCAACCATCTGCAATATTTAAATTAACAGCTTCCAAAATAAAGTGTTATTAATTGCAACACTATTTAATTATCCTACATATCTTAATGTGCCAGGCTGAACATTTATGTAGTGTTAATGAATTGATGTTTGAAGAAGTCTGGGTTTTGGTCATGTAAAACAATTGCTACCAAATCGTTCCAAATTTAAATATTTACCTTCAGCTATATAAATAAATTGACTCTTGTTGATAAAAGAAATTTGAACTGTAACAACTGAGAATTGGTAATAGTAAGTACAATTATAGAAATAATTATGCTATACTTATGATATATAAAGATATTCCAAGTATTCTATAACAAACTTTTTCTTTCTTACTTGTTTCCACTTTGTTACACAGCCATGGTGAGTTTTAATATTGGTATGTAGACAGCTCAAATTTTTTAGACATTGTTTTATGTTTACATTCTGACAAAAGAAATATGAAAGAAGACACACACATATATATATATATATATATATATATATATATATACACACACACACACACACACACACACATATACATACATACATTTATATTGCATGAAATACATCTTTCAGGTGTTCTGGCATACATCATCAGTGATGTTTTTAGCAATAGATCATTAAAGGTTTCAGGTCTTACAACATCATACTCCTTCTCCATTGTGACCCAATCAATAGTGATCAGATTTCAATTTGTGTGCCACTTCTTATAATGGAAAACTATCCTAACCCACTGTGACAAAAGAATTCCTTGGACCAATTATGATCAATTTCTGGTTCACTGGTTTCTATGTTCTTCTATAAACAAAAAAAAAAAAACTATTTCGTTAGCAAATATGCTCTTGTCACTGTACAATACATATGTGCAATAATGAAAATACCTTATCTCAGAACTTCCGAAAACAATGAAAGATTGCATGAATTACAAGAAAGTTGAAGACAATTGTCAGAATAACATATACAAGAATGAAAATAGTTCATCTCAGAACTTTAGACAATACAGAAACGTTCAGCCATTGGGCTTAAAAACGACACAGATGAAGATAACAGTTCAAAATATATCCAATAATGAGAATACTTTTAGAACTTTAAAATATAAATAAGTAAACAATTCACTATTCAAAAACGTTATCTAAATATTCCAAAACAATATTATAATAAAAATCTTGGAATTTCCACAGATTCAATTTACTTATGAGATATTGTAACAAACTCAGATTTTACTGTCCTCAAGTATGTATCCTACTGTAACTTTAAAAAAAGAAAAAAAGAGAAGCCTGACCAATGATACCTTTTTTTAAGGTGATTACGTTTGGTTAAGCCTTGTAACAAAATTCAAATAAATAATCTAATATCAAGAATTAGTGTCTTTCCTAGAAGAAATTTCAAGTTTTTCTCAGAAAATAATTCACAGACTAAGAAGTAATTAAATTTATCAAAACTGATAGATATAATAACGCCACGAGCTTTACGAATTGAATAAGGGGAGATAAACAGTTAAATTAGTACCTGGAAATTAGTTCATAATAACCGTCCTTGGGCGCCTCAGCGTGAGCAAGTCGTTCTTGCAGATCCAGAGTAGCGAATTCAATCCAAACTGGGTGTCTCATATATGTGATCGTGTGCCAAACCTAAGCTATACTTTGTTTTTTATGGATCCTTATAGTGGGTAGTGGTCAGCAAGCTAGGTAGGTTGACGTGACCATTACAACTGAGCTGAGTAGAGAGTTCCATCATATTTTGGCCCTTTGGGGCTTTGTGCCGAGAACAAGACATTATTAAAATGTGAATAAAAGTTTGTTACATTTTTAAAAATTGCATCTATCAAAAAAAAATAAAAAAATAGCTTATTATCAACACTCTCGCTGAATTTTTATGTGACGGCATTTTTTTGTAAAAAAAAAAAAAAAAAAAAACAACATTGGAACCATTGCCATAATGCTTCATCGAAGCATTAAATTTTTAAAATTAATTTAAAAATTGCTTGGTAAGTAAATAAGACTCGAACGTCGACTAACTTACAAGCTCACCGGTTTTTTTTAATAAGTAATATTGACATGCAATTATTCCAGTAAGTAAGTAAATAAGTGTAGATTCTTCCAGCAATCACTCAAAACAATGATAACTATTTGATAAATACATTTTTAAAAATATGTATGAAATTAAAACTAATGAATGAAACGTAAGCGACTATTTTTGACGATGGAACTGGTGATATAGCGAAACTCGTGTCCAGAAAATTGTTAAAAATAATTTGAGTTTTCTTGCAAATATAAATCGCCAAGTTTCGACAATCTAAATGCCAATTTAATTCTTTATTTTAATAGATGTTCTGTAAAAACAATAAACCAAATCAATAATCACCTTTCTGGATTAGTCCGAAAAGCAGCGACCATGCCATCCTCTGCTTGTTCTGCCATTTTATTAATCTCGCATACTGTGTTTAACATGTTTTTTATTGGACAATATTTTTCTTTTAAAATTTTTTTCCGAATCAATTAAGAATTCTTCTTAAAATTTAAGTGCTATTTTATTGTTGTCTGTGTATTTTTATAGATTGCAAAATGTATTTTCTATGCTCCGATTCTTATTTTTACCGGTGTGAACCCTAAAATGATCCCGGTATAATTCAATCATTATCCAAGAAATTTGCTTCTTATTTGTAATTTATTAAATGAAATTGTGGATTAAAATTGTATTTTGTACTAATGTTCAATATTCTTTACAAACTACAACAGTAATCTTTCTTTTAAATAATACCGAAACAAAATCTAACTTCTTAAGATTCTTTTTTAAAATCTGTTAGTAAACGTGATTAACTGTTAAACAGAAACTACTTACTTTTTGAACCAAATTCATTGTCATACGTATATTTCGAATTTCATTCAATAAATAAAAACTATTGGGTATCGTAAAGAATTCTTTCCAAATAATGTGTCAAAAACTAAAAAAAGGAAATACAATTGAATTAATTCATGAAATGATAAATAAATCTCAAGCTAACGTTCTTTTTCTTTCTAAATTTTATTTTATTCATTCTTTTGTTCATTATTGATAAAGTAAGAAGACTAAATTAAAACTCTATTCCTTTATTAGACGAATACAAGGCATAACTAAAATTTATTTACAAGTCACATTCTATGATAGTGTTTGAGTTGACAATTTGTCGAAAATGTCATCGAATTTAAAGAAACCTCAGTATAAAAAAAATCAAATTTTAAAATTAATTCATTAATTATTTGAAACAAATATCGGGAGTGACATGACGTTTTACTAACAGTAATAATAACTCATAAGTAACGTTTCACTTTTTAAAATAAAAAAGAAAGAGAGAGGAAGCGAAAATAAAAATGCGTGATGTTATTTAAATAAATAAATGCGAAAAAAAGATATGAAGATGTGGAATGGAAGGCTTTTTTAAAAAATAAAAATAAAATATTATTGACTTGACGTGATGAAATGTGTTTTGTTTGCTAAAAATGGTTGAATTATTATATTTTTGTATTTTATGAGAAAAACTAAAAAAATCACAAAAAAATCCATGCTACCTCGTTTTATAAAAAAAGAGAAGTAAAAAACTAGACATTTTTAGTGTTGCGCAAAGAGAGTTGCACAACATATGGCTGTCAAAAACTGAAAATAATTCATAGAAAAAAAGCTGTTTTTTTATTTCATTGGTTGTTTTAAATTCAACCGTTACGTTTAAAAAAAAACCTAATCCGCGAATAGTAAAAAGGGGGACGGCGCGCAGACACACACATTTACACACATGACTGTTGGTTCGTTCAACGAGTATGACCATCGCTGACAAGTTTGATCTATGTTTTGATTTTCTTGAGAATGACAATGGCCCTTGAAAGCAGCAAGTGAGTTGCGAAGCTTATTGCACATGTTGCAAACTAAATTGTTTAGTACAGGGCCTGGCCTGATTTGTATTTAAAATCTGTTCAGCTTGCACGTGGGTTTTCATGTGACGGGTGAGACCAGAGCGGTTTCAGCAGATTTTCCGGCACACCTTAATAAAATAAAATAAAACACACCTCCACACACATTCGTATGATATACGCAAATAATAGTAAGAATATAAGCTAAAGCTTAAAATAAGCTAAAAGCTTAAAATATACAATAAACTGGGCTCAATACAAAAATTAACATTGCTAAAAAAAAATAATTATTCAATACAATATAAAAATTCGCTTCTCAAGACTAAGACTTTCATCTGAAATTGAGTAACGGATTTTGATATTGTTGTGTTAATAATATTATTGCATTTGATTAATATGTTTATTATTATATGCATTATAATTTTAATAATATTATTATAATCATATTTTTAATACAATATCAGTATCAGCTACATATTGAACATCTGACCCTGAAGAACACTTTGATGCGAAACTATGAAGTCGGTCAATGAAGATAAGTTAATTGAACGTTTTCTATCTATCTATCTATCTATCTATCTATCTTTACAACACCTGTTAAATTTTAATTTAGTTCTCATGTTGACTTCATTTTTCATTCAACATAGCACTGATAATTACGCAGAGAAAGTGATTTTTCATGTTTTCCTCTTTTTACAGTATTTTTTTTTATAGATACATTAATATTTCTTTTATTCTCACTCAAACAAATGATCAGTTTTTTATGCACGACATACTGATGGAAAATTTTCAACAAAAACGCATATTACTTCATATCTGTCCTTTTTTATTTATTTCGACTTGACTTTTCTTAATTGAAAAACAGATGTGAGTCTTTCAGGAATAAAATTGTACAACACTTAAAATGTTTACTTTTCGCGAATGGATTTTCTTTTTAAATTCGCAAATTAGCAGGCTCCGAACGAATTCATTTTTCTGCATTGAACCAAAAATGCGTTACTTAGTTCCGGTACTTATTTGAGAGGGAGAAAATAACCTTTCACCGTTTGAGTGATGACCATGGCAGCAATGGATGCTTTCTCGGAAGAATATTTGGCCGAGAAAAAGGTTGAAGTTTGTCATAAAGTATGTATCATTATTTACAATTGATTTACTCGCAGCATATAGGGAATTAAATAAGTTTATAAGAAAGTTTATATTTTGTAATTTTATTTAAGTAGATTTTTTATCTGCTTTTTCTTTTTAACAAACAATTGATATTCAATTTTATTCTGTCTTTTTCAAGAGCTTCTGTTTGTTTATTTTTTGTAATAATTTTTTTTATTTGGTTACTATATGAATGAATGAATTAGTCACATTTTGATACATTCATTTGCACACTTGACGATGGCCTCATAGAAATAGGGACCTAGTTACACAATTATTCTTTTTCGCATTTAACACTTCACTTAGTTTTACTTAACGTTGTGTCTGTCAGTGTACTAAAAACGATAAAAAATATAATTTTTGTTGGATGTAAAGAAAAAAGACTTTTAACGAAAGACATTTCAATTGACTTTAATTTAGTTAGTTTGGTGGAATAAGCACTGCGACCAAAAATAATAATTTTTTTTTTTTTTTTTTTTTTTTTTCGTCGCGGTAGGTACCACCACGGACTTAACAAAACACGAGAAACATTTGAAATGCCTTCTTTGGACTTAAATTTCACTTGAAAGATATTGGTAAAAAAAAAAAAAAAAAAAAACTAATTCGTATGAAAAGAAAATTTAATTTCCGTGTATAAATAAATTTTTGAGACATTTTTAAAACATTGTTACAGTTAGATTTTTTTGTCGCTCATCGCGCCGCCATTGTATATGAAAAATGTAAACAAATTTTTAATTCTTTTTTAAAAAATCTAATATTTGAAGTCTATTAAAAAATTTAAGGATTAAATTAACTGGATTTTCTGAAAATATTGCTTATCTTCTATTTTAAGCAGAATGCAAATATAACATTTTATTTACGCACGCTTGCCTGTGTGGGCAAAAGATAATAAAGACCGTGTGTAATTCTACCCCTGTCTGAAAACGCATAGGGGTAGTAAAAAGATAAAACGTCAAGAAATACGACAGTGCGATAATCACGAATTTGTTATTTATGTTTAAAACTAAATTCTTTTTAACCTTATATTACCAATAGTTTGAAAATAGAATTTTTTTATTCTACGCTTTTATTAATAAAGATTCACACTAAAAATGACATTACTTTATTTTTTAAATTTTCAAACATGGCTTTATTTAATCTCTTGTGAAAACAGCCACGGGAAAAAATAATTTTTTAAAAATAAATATTAAGTTTAACTTTTTTTTTTCTGTCAAATTTGAAAGAAAATAACGTGAAATGATGTAGTATTTTACCAAAATTTTTTTTTTAAAAAGTAATGTTTCAAAAATAGTTTATCATTTGTAAATAACTCCTGAAAATTTCATTAAAATCTGACAATTATCTGATTTTTGCAAGAATTTCCAAATCAATGTATTTTGCACCACAAAAAGGCACCCAAATTTCCCATACTAATTTATGGTCACATATTGATGCAAGAAAAATAAAATTTTGAAGGTTCTAAAATTGATTAAAAAAAATATAACTTAATCAAAAACTCCTTTGGTCTTTCCTCTTAAGAATAACAAATATTTTGACAATAAGGCTTTGTTTTTATTAAGTTGTTTTTTTTTTTTTTCATCATGTACACTCACTTTTCAGTGAATCTTTGGAGGTACCTACATTTATGCAAACAAAAAATTTAATTTAAGTTATATTTCACAGTGAGTGTTTTACTTAGATTATATATATATATATATATATATATATATATATATATATATATATATATGACGTCATCAAAATGGGACCAGTTTTTGATATTGTACTTTCTATTTGCTTATTACTGAGTTAGTTAAAAATCACTATAGATATAATTAGAAGTGTTTATTTTAAACAAACTTTCTTATTAAAAAATGACACCTGACATATCAGCATGCATTTTTTTTTATTGTTATTATAAGTAAATGGGACATTTTTGTTAATTGAATCCAATATTGAAGATGATAAAAAAAAAAAAAAAAAAGAAAAGATTCATGTATGCATGATGTCTTGGGCAAGTAGACATAAGAGTCTATCCCCCTCTAGGTCAAACCAAAGCCAATGTCATCAAAGTTGAAGGCTCAACTTGATCACAGATATGTGGCTGTTGATTTCATAGAGGGAACTCTTGTTGCAGGTATTGTGGAATTGTGCAGGGATTCCACCTACTTTTACGTGCGCGTGCGTATTGCACCCCTTCCTTTCACATTTGGCTAGATATAGTAGTAAACAGCCATCTGCTGCCGACGTGAGGAAGTTGATGGCTGCTGCTGATTCCAGCTAAAACAAAATTTGAAGTTTTCCCGCGCATTCTCTGACGTCACTGACGAACTGTGTTTTTCAAATCAGTCGCTGCCTGGTCTCAGCAAAAAGGTTGACTCATTTATTTCGCGCCCATACGCGGGCCGAAT